TGTTAAAGCGTTGACGGCAGTGTCGCCCGCCTCTTGGGCCCACCAGACACGCTTTAACACAGCTTCGTCAACTAGTTTGACAGTGGCGTAGCCAAGAAGAGCTCCGAGGTAGGGGGCGTGCCACTCTGGACAGAGGGCGGACCTACCTCCGGCTGCACTAGAGACTGGGGGGGCCCCACTGAGATCTGTCAAGCAAAACGAATGGCAAATGCACTCATCAACTCATAACCAGCTTTCAAGCAAGGTGCAAGGTGCACATGGAAGGGCTTTATACAGTACAACAGCAAAACGTTTTCCACCACACTCACCAGCCAGCATGCAAAAAAACCTGTCTAACCGCTAAGGTTAAAATCAGAGGTTTTAGATACACGTCTTCTGCAGAATATGTGAAAGCCGTAACGCCTCGTCAAGGCACCTCTGTGTAGTGTGTTCCTAACTCTAACCTATGAGAGTCTCCATCTTGGAGCACATATAGCAAAAGATAAAATTGGTTGCAGGTTCGCCAGGAGGCAGCCCAACCCCCTTAAAGGCACAGGGACATACAAGGGACCCCGCACATCACAACGGCAGCTGGGACCCCCAGTTCCTCTTTTATAAAATATCAGTTATGAAAGTTCTAACCAAACAAAAATCATCACAATATGGGCGCATACACACCAGCAGCCCTAATTTAGGGGCTGCAAAGGGCATTTTTCATAAAGGTGAACTAACTCTTTACAGGTATAAGGTGTGGAACTGAGACATCTTCAAAATGAAAGAAAAAATGCTCTACGAGTCAAAGGGGGCTTATAAATGGGAAAAGGCTTTGGAACTTGCATATTAAAATGAATTTCTAATGTTGTTTTGAGAGTTTATTCATTACAAGTGTTTCTTTCTATTAATAGTTATCGCTATGTTGTATACATTTTGATATTTAGAAATATTAAGCATTGATTTCTCTCATGATCTCATCTCTTTAGCAATGTTTCTCCTGAAGCACAGAACAGGATTTGTATAGCTGTTGAACCAGCTCAACTTATCAAGGGAGACATTATGGTAAGTGATCTTGTGGGTTTTGAAATAAAAAAGTAACAGCTGTTGTTATTCAGTCAGAAAACCTGAAGTTTTTTTCTTTAGATATAATATAGGATGTTATTTTATTTTACATTATATAACAGGTGATATGGTGTAACCCAGGCAGGCAGGTGTAGGAACTAGAAGTTTCTGGAACATGATATTTGTTTTTATTTTATTTATTTATCACTGGTGTTTATATAGCGCCACCAATTTATGCAGCACTTTACATTGTGCACATTCACATCAGTCTAAGGTCTCACATGCATACTTACAGGGCCAATTTAGGCAGGAACCAATTAACCTTCCAGCATGTCTTTGGACTGTGGGAGGAAACCGGAGTACCGGTAAAAAAAAACCCCACACAAGCACAGGGAGAACATGCAAACTTCTTGTAGATAGTGACCCGTGATTTAAACCAGGGACCTCCTACAAGGCAGAAGCACTAACCATTATGCCACTGTGGTTTGTTTTTTGTTTTTTTTAATTGCCTGAAAGTCCACCTAGAGCTAAAATATCCCTGTGTTGCGATATATCTTAGTGGACTTTTTCAGACACACATAAATTTGCAAGAGAGACGGAGGTTTTGTTTGTTTGTTGATAGAAACTCGGTTCATACAATGGAAATGGCCAACAATACAGCCCAAACTGGTTTTACACAATGGGGTAGCTTATCCTGTATTGATTTGTATCACAATGGGATGGTGATCATGAATAGTCACGCCTAGCCTGGCCAAGACTCAAATCAAATCTTGACTACTGAGGGCAATTTATGGTACAACGCTGCCACCTAGAGGTGGGAAACTGTATTGCATTTTCCTAAAGGTGAAAGGGGCGTAGCTTCCATTGTTTCAGGCCAGTTTCTCTCAATAAAAAGCCAGTAGCTGAAAGGTAACACAGGAGTTCACCAGCCCAGCACTTCACAAGACCAGGGCTTCACAGGAGGGGACAGTACGAGGGCGCTTCACAAGACGAGAGGACTTGCTTCAAGACCAGGATACTGCAACGAGAAGCCATTCTTCCTAGGCCAAGCACTGCTCATCACAGAATTTATTGGAGTCTGCAGCCTAAGCTAAGTACATTTTCAGTGTTTCCCCTCCTGTGAAATTATACATGTACTAGAAGATAGTGTAGTGGGTGCATGTGAATGTTTGTAGCAGCCTGTCTTGTTGATGTATTTGTTTGCTTTTCCTGTAACTAAGTTTGTACATGCAGCATTTTCGCCAAGTAAAGTACTTTTAATGCTACTGAGTCAGTTTCCTTGAAGTTTACTGCAAGAACAGACAACAAATAGAAATTAAAGTTTTGCCAAGCTTTACAGCTGGGCTCATCCTTGAGATAAGCTTGACGTCTCTGGGATTTGTAGTCCAGAGCATTACAATCCCTTTTGGCCCTTAAAGTGTACCATATCTTTACACATCAATACACACTCCCTGATCACCTCTAACAAGCCACAGCTTTACTCTTGTCAATGCTTTGCTAATTGGCTTGCAGGGCTCCACACAGAGGCTCTTCCATAAAAACATTACGGTTTGGTTTACTACCTTACCCACACCAGTGAACTAGTTAATGGCACCCCAAATGCGCCTGAGCAAACGCATTTTTTGCCCACACGTCTGCGCACATACAAACGCGCATGAAAACGCTGGGAAAAACGCAAGACCCATGTTGCAGAATTTGCTACATGTGACTTTTCCCATTTTGCCACATATTTGGCATCCATTGAAATCAATGGAGATGCGTGCCAAATACAGGAAACAAATGCCCAGGAATGTGCATCATAGTGATGCGTGTTTCCACTACACCTATGTGTGAATGGGGCTTTATGAAGATTGCAGGAGTAGGAACCGTCGATGAAGATTTTTGAAGAGGCTGTGTGTTGCTCAGAAGGCTGCACAGACTTGATAGAGTGTGGACAGGTAAGGGTGTGACTGGGTAAATTTTTTGGTGGCTAGTAAGGATCTAGCTCTGTCACCTCTACCCCTTCATCCTCATTGTCCTCATCCTGTAAACCAGGGGTCCCTAAAAGGTGTACCACGGTCCGAATCCGAACCGAGCAGTGGTTCTATCCACACCACGATCGCCAACTAGGTTATGGCTGGCTATCAGGTCCCCGATCCTCCGCAGTCATTGGCTGCTAGGAACTCAGCATTCCTAGCAACCAATGATGACACCTTTATTCCACGCAAAGCATTAAGGGAGGATGGAAGAGTATTGTCTTCAGCCTCCCTTGCTGCCTAAAGTCTGCCCCGCCTCCTTCCTCCTCCCATCCCCGCCTGTCATGGTCTACCAGAGCTGTCTCTCTTCTTCTTAGCAGCTCCCCTATGTGATAGCAATTAAAGCAAAGTAAAAAAAAAATAGTTTTTAAATTAATATGAAAAAAAATTAAATGTATAAATTAATAATAAAACATTTTTTAAAGTCCCCTGCCCCAGCGAGCACACGCGTCTTCACATAAACATATGCGTCGGGTGTGCCTACATACGAAAACAACGATTGTGCTACACATGTTGGGTATCGCCGCGCACGCCAGAGTGAGAGTAATAATT